CTTACATGAATATCTACAACAATAACAAAAGACTTTAGCATTTAATGAGAAGAAACATATATGCATATCAATACAATATGTAAATTTTTCATCATCAAAAGTATCAGACCAAAGAATGATAGACGTCCTAAAATATTTAGTTTAAATATTTGCATAATACTCTATTTATGCTTTTTTTTTGAAGTGCTAAATGAATCGATAGATTCTATTATGTAAGAAAATCTGTAATTTAAAGCTATTCATCCCGTGAAATCAATCAATTTAGTCATATAATGTTGAGTTTATTTGCTGTTCAATCCGAAATTAAAAAATAACCAGGGAACGTTGTTTTTTTCGTTTTTTTTCTAATTCTCATGCAAATTTTTTTAAATTTAACAACTTAATGAAAAAATATTTTACATTCTTGATAAATAAACGCGTTAGAATTTTGATGTTAATGACATTCCTGGATATTTTCTCATTAAAATAAAACTAAAGCAAAATATATGTGAATTGTGATACTTCGTTACAATAGATATATTAACGTATCTTCGTGATCAAAGGTGACATCTTTTTTTTTGTTAAATCGTTCAAGAAAATTTTACATAGGAGACAGCGAGTAAAATAACATGTTTTTTCTTAAAGAATTAAGCTTTTTTTAGTTCAATATTTCCATCGATAGAAATCTGGTTACATGATATTGGATTTCAATCATTCGAATCCAAAATTTAATGATTTGATCTTTTCACTAGAAAAAGTGATAATTAAAACATATTAGTTTTGATGAATCTGTTAGATGAGTTATATGATTTTCCTTCTAATATTTTAAAATGTGAAATCATATGTCATATTTATATCGACATTTTTTGAATTATCAAATAAAACTGGCTGTTTTTCCAGGAAAAACAGTTTTATAGCTTGTAATCGTATTCGTTTTGTGTCTCTTGTAAAATAATAATGTAATATTTAGTTGACTTTTATTACATACGAAAAAATGACTATAGTATCGACATGTTTTCTTGATCAAGTTTCCAAAAACAAAAATGTAATATTTTTATCGTTTATTTTTTCAAGTGCAAAAAATAAAACAATTTTTTTTCCCACGAGAAAGCGACTTTTTTATGAGAATATTCCTTTTTGAAACCTACAGAATGAATTGTAGCATATTTAATTTATTTTTTTTGGAACATAAAGTGACATGATGCATTGAATTATTATCTATGACAAGGAGAATCATCAGATTATTACTGATAACAGAATGACCAATATTTCAATGGATCAAGTGAGCATCATCATCGTACCTAAGAATAATAGGTTTTATATTTTATTTTTACCATCTCAGATATCCCAACATAATCCTTTCTTAAAATTAAAAAAACAAAGAGAAACATGGTTTGTGCAAGATAAATAGTTTTTTGATCATTATATCATGTTGTATTATTTATTATATTTAATGTCATTGGCATAAATATATAGTTGATCATAATTTTATTTATAGTAAAAAGTTCATATATGATCGTATTGAGCAGAAACTCAAGTACTAATGCATTTGAATTGTAAGATAGTGATAGTTTCCATTGATCAAATTCTAATAGAAGTACAAGAGTAATTTTTATTAGAAAATATCTCAGATACAGCAAAGGGTACAAAGAAAAACATTTATAATTCTATTATTAATAATTGAAATTCTGTATCTATATATGCGTGAAATTGATATATTCAGGTCGAATAAATGTGTTATTGATAATGAAAGCTTCTCTACTTATTAATTGTTCGTAATACATTTCATGATGAATTAAACAATACTAAATATGATCAGATAGAATAAAAATGTATTTTAATTGGTCAAAGCGTTCTATAGTGACTTGTAAATGTGATTAAATAAATCAAGAAAAATGGAATTCACAAATTCATTGAGAATTTTCTACTTTCAATCTGACGATTTGATATTTTACTTTTTCTAATTGAGAATATAATTAGATTTTAGACAATGATACGAAGTAGTTTAAGCTCACCAGAGAAAATCGAAGTAAAAAGTGGATGTTTTTTGCCAAAACATGTCAGAAATTACGTTTTCTATAAGTTGGATCATACGTTGCGATATTTTTAAATTGTTGAAAAAATATTTAAGGTGAAAAAGCAATTTATAGAAGCTCTACTATGGTGTTTTGAAACAAAATGCCAAGAAAAAAAAACAACAAAAAAAATTCAAACGGCTATAAGAACTAATATTGAAAGAAGAAATGAAAAATTGACTCTCGAACGAGTTAATCTCCTTATGATAAAAAAGTACATCAATATTCGACAATGCTGATAGAAATGTGTATAATCTTAAGCGCATAATATACAACACTAATTTCGAATCAAAAATAAACTTTACCAGCTGTTACTATTGACTTTCTTAGAGACAATCAATTGTATAATTTTTATTTATCAGTAGTTAATGTTTTCTCTTAAAACTATATATGAAATGTAGTGCTTATCATACTATAAAACAGCATATCAGAAATAAAGATCGCAGTTGCATTTAGACTGTAAAAACAAAAAAAAGTTCTTTATTTTATTATAATTCTGATCATATTCTATAATTCTAAAATGACACATTCAGTTGTGATGGAAAAGTATTAGCCATATCTGTTGTTTTATTTTATCTTCAGATAGATGGAAAAAAATATAACCTTTACACAATAATTGATTCATGTGTATAATGATGCACGTTTGAAATACCTAAGAAAGGAAGTCTCAAGAATCAAATAAGAAAACAAATTATTCTTAGAATGCGAAATATGTAACTATTATTTTCTAGGTACACACTAGAATTGTTTTAATCATATATGAAAATGTGAAAATCAGAAATTGTTGTTCCGCTCAATATTAATGGTTATATCTGCGGTATTGCTGTTTCTATTTCTTTTGAGCTCCTTTACTTAACTTCTGGCGGAACAAAATACTAAGTACAGTCTCGTGAGACTTTAACATGTATATTCTATATTATGATTCCATGATATATCTCAATAATGAAAATTAAAAAAATGTTTTGGAAAAACACATGTCGTTTTGGTATAGAGATTTTTCTCATGATATAGGTACATTGCTGTCTTGAAAATATTTCATAAAAACTTATTTTTGTTAATTCCTTCAATGAAAGGCAACTTTCGCCAGATTATTTAACTGCTTTACTTGTTGCTAGAACTATACTGTAAGTAAATATTTTCGTTAATACAAAATACACACTCAATTAATTTATATCACATTGAATTACATTCGATCTGACACTAAAATCAATAATTCCTACTATTTTTTTTAATTATCTCTCTGATGAAATTTCTACTCAAATTCGCTATACGTGCAAATCGTATTGCAGTTCATATCGAGCTGCTCGTGTTCGCCATACTGCGAATTGTATTCACCATACTGTGAATCGTGTTCGTCATACTGTGAATCGTGTTCGTCATACTGTGAATCGTGTTCGCCATACTGTGAATCGTGGTCGCCTAACGGCGAATCGTGGTCGCCTAACGGCGAATC